TATGTCGGGGAGATGGGATTGGGATGTCGGTTGTGGTTTGATTTATTAGGCGTAATGTCCTACAATTTTCACGCACAAATTTCCCCGACACCGGATTGCAAACTAATAACTCCTGTATCACTTCAGTCTAAAATCAGAAACTATTATTTGAACACTCACTTCATTTATAAGTTAACATTGATATCATACTCACTTATAAGAACCTACCGAGTCTACAGTAGCCCCAGCTTTGCGATTTGTAACTCTCCGCCTTCGTGCTGTTGCCCTTTTTCTTTTCTCCCGACCTCAGGATAACAAGGGCAGGTAACTCTAATTCGCTGTGCAAAATAAAGTTGATATGTGATCGTAAAGTGGTCATCCACTATGAAATCCAGTATACGACAACAGCCATTATCAATGGCATGTATCTACTGTGAGATGACGTCGATAGGTGGTTCGGCCACACAGCATGAACCACATTATTTTTTTTGGTGTCATGGTAACATCTAAGAATCGTGTTACATTTTCGCAGTGTTTACTTGTCGAATGATAACTTGTCTTATAACTTAACAAGAATTTTTCGCCTTTCGATCATGTTTGCATGTATTATATTTCGTTGTCGAAAACAATACATTTTATTCAATGTTTTACAGTGAAATACATAGTAAAACGCCCGCCTTATTTGACGAAAATGGCGGGTATTAAAGATTGACGGAAGTTTCTGGATATACTAACAGTAATAATCAAACCACCAAGTTATAATTTCAGGAATTACATCAAATATGACGGAAGTAGAGGGTAGGAAGATACAATAAGATATTTCCAGTCTTACTTTCCCTTTATAACTCTCAACAAGTAAAGAGCTTCCTGGCGTTTTCATGCCATTCAATTATTTCTAGTCTTGTTTCGTTTCGTGTCAGATTTCTTTATTGTCAAGATATTGTAAAATACAAGTTATATATTGGGCAATAGGCAAAGCCTATGAAATGCCTCTTCTTTTTTGCACCAGTAACTTTAAGCGATTTCAAAGCGAACTAAGATGACAAACTTCATCTGCATGTCGCGAACTTTTTGTCATTGATTGAGTTATCGCCCTGCGATGCGAACTCTTTTATTAAAGTGCAGAAAGTAGCCAAGATGGACAATCCGAAGCTCAGCTGCCTGAACTTGCGACCGTTAAAGGTGCGTAACTATAGGTGAGTTTGAAACTCTGTTAATACAGTGTGTTGGATATAATCATTTCATCCCTTTCTTCAACAAAATGAAGCATAAACCTTCAGATGCGTACCCAGATGCTTGTATTTAGGATATTCTTCACGCAAAGTGTGTTGTAAACGGTGCAGCTGGAAAAAAATACCCCCATTATGTAACAAAAAAGCATGTAGTTACAGCAATGTCACGGTCGAATTCTTTGCCATCCTCATTTTTTGAAAGGAAGACTTTGAAGTCGACATTGTCCGAGAGTTCCTGTTCTAACGATAGCCTTACATTTATATCTAGATCAAGTAGCGATAAAGACAGAAAAATTTAACCTGTACTCTTCATTTTACACCAAATTCTAATATGGTTGGGAGTTAATATTTGCATACTTATTACATAATATAGGCCTTGATCATAAAAGGGTTTTACACAGGGCGCGAAAAAAGCACTCGTCCACTTGTCCTGGACGAGCTAAATTTGGCTGGGGACGAGTGAATGTCGTCGTGCACTTGTCCGAGGTGACGAGTAAATTTCAAAAGCAAATAATAAATAAATCAAAATGATGAATATGCGTGCATTGTCTTCAGCATTTATTCCATGAAATCTTTCTAAACAAATTAGGATTAAATCATACTTAAAATTAAGTTCCGTCGAAGCCTTTTCTCTATGTTCACGATACAGAAGCGCCGACGTGATTTTGATGCGTTTACGTGATAAAGAAGGGAGAGACTAATAAATGGATATGACAATGTATTCAAGACCCAGTATCGTATCAATTACGGAAAATTTTAAAGGTACTGAGAATGAAATTATCTAAGCACTATCGAGTCACACATGCTCATATTTCGTTTCTGTGTGTTCTAATACCAGATTTCAAGAAGGATACATGATTACACTTTATTTAGAATCAAGTCCGGAAAAGGATTTATTGCTTAGAATCCACTTTTTAGTTCCTGTTAATATGTCGCTATGGCGAAGCGAACGATAGAATCGTTCTTTGTGATCATTGTCTAAGAAAATAAGACAAGAGCATGATGAAGAAGATAAAACAAAAGCTAAAACAGCTATGCAGGGAGAAACAGAAGTGGTTAAACCAAAAAAGAAAAAAAGAAATTTCAATGAAAGTTGGCACAAGGAATTTCCTTGGGTTCAATACGATCAAAACAGAAATAAAATGGTTTGCACATACTGTCTGAAATATCCAATGGTGGCAGATAAAGACAGCCCACTTTCCAAAGGCGCCGGGGGTGAGGGGAATTTCAGAAAAGAATCTCTAACGTTTCATAGTAAGTCTAAGTTACATGTGAAGTGTCAGGAAAAGTATGAGTCTGAGAACAGACCAAATTATGCTGGTCCTCTGAAAAAAATGTCTTTAACTCTGGGTGAAAATGTCTGTAAGCAAATTGGCTGCCTTTTCAACACCTCATTTTATGTAGCAAAACAAGGCCAGTCGTTTGAATCATTCCAGGGCCTTTGTGAGTTACAAGAAAAAAATGGAGTAGATCTAGGTTTTAAGTACAAGAATGACAAGGCATGTGCCACTTTTATTAACAACATTGCCACAAATGAGGTGAAAGCTATTTCTCAAGAACTAAAACATGCCAGGTTTTTGTGTTCTGTCAGATGGTAGCACGGATGCAGGAATTGTTGAGCAAGAGGCCGTTTTTCTACGATATGTTGGTCCAGAGTCGGGCAGGGCAAAGACTGTTCTTTGTGACATTGTTTCTCTTGAAAATGCAACAGCTGAAGGTGTTTTAGCAGCAATTGATGAAGCTGTAGAAACTGTTGGAGTAACTCAGGAAATTTTAGTTTCAAAACTGGTTGGCTGTAATTTTGATGGGGCAGCTGTCATGATGGGAAAAAAGTCTGGTGTAGCTACTAGGTTGTCATAAAGGGTCCCTCACTTATTGTCAGTTTACTGTGTTGCTCACAATCTAGAACTTGGGGTGTTGGATGCTGTGAAAACTGTTCCATATCTACGTCAGTTTGATGACACTGTCAAGGGAGTATTTAAATACTACTTTTACTCACCGAAGAAGAGAAGAGAACTTAAGGCTATTTCTGAAATAATTGAGGAAGACTATGCCTATTACAGTGGGGTTCAACAAATTCGTTGGTTGGCAAGTAGGCACAGATCATTAGCAGCTTTAGAGAAACATTATGCTGTTACGATTTATCACTTGGAACATGTTGGTCAGGGAACTGGGGAAGATTCTGCCAGGTCCAAAGGGTTGCTAAGGGAACTCAAAACTGAAAAGTTTGTCAAATTTTTGCATTTTATGATTGATGTAACTTCTGTTCTTAAGCACCTCAGTGAATGTTATCAGAGAGATGAGCTCTTTATCAGTGATGTTGTCAGAAAGTTGGAGTTAGCTTCATGGGAGTTGTCTGAGCTGAAAGAGAATGGACCTGATACAGGAGAATTTTACAGCAAGTTTGTACAGAGTTACTCTGATGGGGTTTTCAAGTGTGGAAAGGAATCAGCTCAATCAGTTTCACTTACAAATAAAGGTGCAAACTTGATTGGAACATTCACAACATTTCTTGGGGAAGTTGTTCAGTATATCAGTAATAGGTTTGGATCTTTACAGGACCCTCCTTATGCTGATTTTCAAGTGTTTGACCACACATTATGGCCTGTTGACCTTAATGAACTGAGAAGTTTTGGTAACAACCAAGTAGCCAAACTGACTGATCACTTCAAAGACTGCCTTTCTGAAGATGACACAAATGGGACCTCTGCAGAGTGGCTAGATCTGAAGCTAAGGTTGAACAGGCAGCGGAGCTCACCCCCTCAGACAGTATATGCAAACTTACTGATGCTCAATCCAGATAATCTTCAGCATATATTAGCATTGGTAAACATAATGATCACACTTTCACCCTGCACAGCTGTTTGTGAACGAGCTTTTAGCTCAATGAACAAACTTAAGACAACATACAGGTCACAGATGAAACAAACAACGCTTCAGAATTTAATGCGAATAAAACAGATGCAACAAAATGTTTCAACATTTGATGCAAATGAAGCAATCAATATATGGTTATGTTCAGCAAAAACTTGCAGGCAAGTGGCAGGAAAATCTGATGATGTCAAAACTGTAACCAATGCTCCGGATGCTGCTGCTGAACCAACAGACCTACCAGAATTACCTCAGCTTGAGGATAGTGATAGCGATTCTGACTAATTCATAGAGTGACATTTTCTATGAGAGAGACAAGTCTGAAATGATGACTAAACAAAACTGCAGTTCCTGTATAATTACAAGATATGATTATTGAAACAATGAAAACACATTAACACAGGTTTTGTTTACTTTTATGTAGAATTAAAAGTCTGAGGGACGAGTAATTTTTGTTCAGGGACGAGTGGTTCTCATGTGGCACTCGTCCCCTTGGACGAGTGCTTTCAAAAATATTTTTCTCACCCTGTTACATCTGTAGTGCCGGTAGACTGTGTATTAGCCTGGTGACGTCACGGGTTGGTGAGTAGGGGGTTTTCCTATGGGAATCCCGGGCATGCGTGAGGGGAAAGAAGATAATAAAACAGAGTGTAAACATGGACGCCGGAGCTAGCTTTGCTGCCTGTAAGTAATAGGGTAAGTGGACCATAGAGAGTCATCTGACAGGGACCAGAAGTGGTGGTAGGACCCAGTGGAATTTCTGCCAGGTGATATAGACGGTAAACTCGTCAATATAGGCAAATACATGCCCCAGTCGTTCCTGTGAGCAGCAGACGTGAGGTGGGTAGAACCTAGCGCTCTGTAGCAAAACGGGAGCATACCATCTTTGCACTGTCAGTAGTGGACAGAAGCAACTATAACGGTATAGGTTGTGTATTATAATATATATATAGCCGATATCTTATTGAAGCACTACACAGCCAATTTTGACTTTGAGGGTCCTTTGGACCATTTGATTAAAACTGGGGGGTCCTAGATAATTAATATTTAGGATCATCATAAATGAAAATTTCAACATTGATTTCTTTTTGTCATAAATTTAACATACCATTAAACTTGGAGGTTGCGATTTATTAAGATGTCATTTCATGGGTCATAGGCACCCACATGTTCAATTTTTAGGGGTCCTGTAGTGGAAAATTGGGGTATAATATGAAGCAGGATTCTGTTAAACCCTGTATAATTTAAGAAAAAAAAATAAAATGCTTCAATATTTGTTATGGTTATACTAGTACCAGTACTAAGTGATATTTTCATGGCTCCTACGAGGCTGAATAAAGGTTCCTTTACCATAGAGGAATTCTGTTTTATTTTCGCCATTTAATGTTCAAATTTTCCCCATTTGAAAACCTGAAAAAAATTCCCTGTCCATTACCATTATTGCATGAATGTATTTGTCAATCCCTTTGAATTATATAGTGACTCATGAACCAGTTTTAATGAAACTTCAAAGAAGTGTTACTGTTCGGTATCATACTTAGCCAAGTTAGGTATACCTATACTGTACAGCTTCATTGTAAACATTGTGGTAACCATGGAAACTGGTCACTTTAAGATCAATTATAAATAGATAAACAATAACAAACTTCTTTTTAGAACAATTTTGAAATAAGTTATTCAGCTTATATTAATCACTCTTGTTGGCCCGTATGTTAGCGCGCAAAGGGTCTTTGAGTGGGAGGAAACCGGAGTACCCAAAGGAAACCCACATGGTCGGGCAGGTGACCCCATACTTTTTCACGTCTGATCGGGGAATCAAACCCTGGCCACCTTGGTGGAAGATAAGTGCGCTATCCACTGCACCACCCGACCACCCTGTTTAAGTCTTTTAATGAACTTAGCTGTTAATAGGATGCCATAAACCTAAACCAGTTGTATACAACAGTGCACACAGGTAATTTCATTCAAATTTTATTAGATTTATTTTTTATTTTAGTGACATGCTCAAGCAGCTGTTGCCAAGAGCCACAATGAGAACTACAAGTTGTGACAAATCCAGATCAAAAGGTAATTCAGCTGAATACATGCATTTTGTGTGTACACACATGTACATACACTTTGTGTGCATGATGCCAGATGGTAATGAATTGATATTAAGAGTAGTATTCATTAAGCATGATCACACTTGGGGACACTTTGGAGTATGACTTTCAAATTCAAAAGTAAACAATTGCAATGTAATGTGGTGAAAATAGAAAAAAAAATGAAAAAAATAAAAGAGTTTTATAAGATTAAAGAGTAAAAAGGTAATTGTGTAATCAATCAAGCTGTGAGTAGTATTTTCTTTTATATTCATAATAAACATTGTCTAAATGTCAGATGGAAGTGCAAAAACAAATTTTGGTGTGATGTTTTCAAAGCTTTACACTTAATACAAAATATGAGGATAAGCTATTTCAGAGTAACATATTATCTGTCCCAATTTGGTATAACAATAAAATAAAGATAGGAGGTAAAACAGTGTTTTATGAGAGTTGGTTTAAGAAGAATATAACTATTATAGCTAATTTAATCAAAGATACCAACAGATGTGTTTTCTAGAAAATATCAAATAAATACAAATTTTTTACAATACCAGTCTCTGTACTGAACTATTATTTCACTGAATAAATTCGAACTAACACATTCTATGACTAACCTGATTCTTGTAATCTTACAAATATGTTTCAACTCCAGTGTGCAGAGTAATACCACCAGATAATGAGAATTATGCATGGCACAGCCACTTGAAAAATGTGATACAGGTATGTAATTTCAACTTTACAATCTAACACACAAGTATAGATCTTTAACATTATGATCATAAGTAAAAGTTTATCGGTCATAGGTCAAAAGTCACAGTCAAAGATTAAATAGACTATATTTATACCAAATAATGGTGTATTTTAATTTGAAAGTTTTAATTCATGAAGTTGTTAATGTTTAGTGCATTGAAGTTATTTAGCACAATGTAGTGGTTATTAGTCTCTAGATCTTAAATAGGGTTTTAACAGGGTTTTAGGAAGCAGGGTTAACTTGAATTCATCATGGTTAAAGTCACAGTGATTGATTACTTATGAAATCCTTTGGTTTTGACACATGATTGTCCTGATTTGGATAAACATTTTCAGAGGAGGGAAGTGAAATTTAATTGATGGGTTGTCAAACTTTGATCTTAAAAATGAGTACATTTGTCATTGAATGTCAGTATTAATTGATGAAACTCAGATCTTGATTAATTTCTGTTCTGTTTTTTTTTCTTTACTAAGGTTCAGCTTAAGGAAGCTTTGTCAGGGTTCAATGATTCCTTGGTTTACGTAAGAATTCCAATCCCCTCAAAGGATGCAGCCAATTTTTTGACCTGTAGGGGGCAGCTGTGCAAAATTACCAAAAGAAGAAGTGTATTTCCTATACAAACAAGGAGAGACCTTGGTCAAGGCTGGGACTACAGGGTGATCAATGTACAAGGGGACAGCTTTTACGTCAAAACAAACACTCTACGCCTGTGGGTGTATGAAAGGAAAACATTGAAAGATTTCATTGTATTTCTAGGTCACGTGGAGGAAAGTGCTTTAAACAGGGGCTATTCATTGGTGCTGTCTTTTGTCCGTTGCCCTGGAAATGCCAACGATTTCCAAAAACTCTTAAATTATGATATTTTATAATTTTAAGAGTATAAAATGGTATTGCAATGGACAATCAAACAGGACTTTGTTTTATTAAGCTACAGTTAAGGTGATCTGTTTGCCTGCAGTTATCATTGCCTTTCATCCATTATTTGTTGTACATTTAGATTTTCAACATGCTTGTACAGAAATCTATTCTCTTCTCAATTTCAAAAGAAAAATTTTGGAATGAATGTATTGCAAAATGCTTCAGTAGCTTTAAATCCAGCTTAGAGGATCATTTATGTCTGAAATTGTTGTTCAAACCAAAACAATGAAAGGCAGCTCAAAAAGGAGCTTTACAAGCTGAGAATCAAAGGTAAAAGAGAACTGAAAAAGGGAGGACAGCAGTATAATAATTACTTGAAATCTTTTGAGAAACTGCATTTTAGATTAGATTGTTCTCTTGATAGACATGCACTGACAGAGCAGTTGGAAAAAACTGTAGCTGAAAAGGAAAATCTATTGAAAGAAAATCTGAATCTTAAAGAAAAGATTGCTTTCGTTACAAAGGAAAGTGAAAAAAATTTTGTGGAGAAACTGAACACATTAGTACTTTATCGATATCGAAGGAAAATAATGAACAAAATAGGCCAGAATGTAAACTTTCCAGGAGAAGAAAACCATTTGAAAACTGTACACCTTCACATCAGTCAAAGGTTAGAAAGTTAGAAGTAGAATATTGTAAGGAATCTTTGTCTGTATTAGAGAATTCAGGATGTAAACCTGTTTCTGTTGATGTTGTCAGAAATGGCAAAAAGGAAACTCTTTTCCTTGTGGATGATGAGGATGATGATGATGCCTCACAGATCAATACTCTTGTTTACATATTAGACTCTTTATAATATTTGTAGACAAGCGTACCATGAGATCAGCATGTTGTTTAAGAATTTACCTCGTAGCTATAAGCTGTCCCAATATGTAGCAGCTTTCAACAGTACATTTGAATTGTTTGATACACCTGATGGTCTTGGAGTACAGCAGTCACTCGGTAAACAATTGAAGCTTGTAGTTTCAGAGCTAACAAATAGAGATAATAATTTTCCTAAAAATAATGGGTGTTTTGAGCATAAAGGTGTCGGGGGATGGCACTAGAGTAGGTAAGCATTTGAATTTTATAAATTTCACTTTCACAATAATGAACGAGGAAAGGTGTCGATCAGCAAAGGGGAATTATCCCCTTATTATAGTTCAGACTAAAGAACGGTATGAAGAACTGTCAGTTGCTGTTTCTGACCTTAAAAAGGAAATCAGTGATTTGCAGTGGACTGAACTGAGTATTGGTGATGACACCTTTAAAATCAAAATATTTCTTGGAGAGGATTATAAATTTCTCCTGTTATCAACAGGCATAACTTCTATCCAGGCTACTTACAACTGTATTTGTTGTAAGTGTAGTAGGCAAGAGAGAGGCAACATGGACAAGATATAGTCTCTATCTGATGCAAATTATGGTGCAAGGATAAATTATAATGAAACTGGAGTAGGTAATTCCAAAACACAATTTTCAATGACAAACAAACCTCTGTTTGATTGCATACCTTTGCATGATGTTGTGATTGATAACTTGCACATGTTTCT